TCTTAGCAAAGAGGCAAAGGCAGTGATCATTTAGGGACAGTGTTGACCATGTGTGACAGAAACCCAGCAGGTGGCTTAATCTGATTGGAGTATAATTTTACTCTCATAACCTGGCATCTTGAGATGGGCAACTCATGGTCGATATAGTGGCTCTATGATGCCCTTGGGGCCCTATTCTTCTTCTATCTTCCTATTCAGCCCTCCTGGGCACAAGGCTTTAGTCTTCATGGATTTTAGCCTTGCATTCACAAGATCATCCCAGCTGAGCTTGGGGGACTTACATTCAGGGCAAGAAGGGGTAGGACAAAGGGCAAAGGCACATACCAGTGGAGTCTGTCCTCTTTTGTGAAGCTGCGAAGGAAGCATCACCCAGAGACTTCTGCATCCTCCCAGAAATGTGTAAGGTAGCCTTTCCCACCCACACAAGCTGAAAGCACTAGCTGTGCCCACTACAACCCAGAACAAAACAGAGGCTCTATCCGTAAAGAAGAGGCTGAGACTGGATTGTGGGACAGGCACCTAGGAAAGTGCAAGGCATGTTGGGATGCTAACATTGGAGTGGAGCAGAAGTCTGTACAATCATTTCCGTGTGGTGCAGTTCATTGTTTTCCAATTCCACACACATTCCCTTTTATTAGGATAAGAGATTGGCATATAACATATGCGGTACATTTTATCAATCTGAAGCTTTGGAGGGTGACTGATGCATCCCTTCTCCTTCCCCAGGTCAGAAGGGGCTCCTCTTGGCTGGAATGTACCTTCAAGTGTTTGAAATGTACACCAGCTTTGGTGCTGCCCTTCACAGTCCTCGTCAACTTTGGCCAAAGGCTCTGATTATGTCCTGACTTTGTCCGAAGTGGCCTCAGTTTACTGATGCTTGGACCTCAACTCCTTGCAATATCTCCCACCTCTTCAAGTACTTCTGGGAGAATTTTCAAATGAATTTATGAATCTTCCCATGGTCTCCATGTTGCCAGGACAAGGCTGTAGCTCCATGTTGCTCTCCCAAGTGGTCAGTATGTTATCACTCATCCTTGCTCTTCTCCTGCTTCCATAGTCCGGCTAACCCAGGACTTGAGCCATTGAAGTTACATGGGTATCACAGTACTTATGCTCCATGGGGAGGCAGCACTTTCAGCCTAAATACATCTGGTGATGGATTTATGATGGTGGGTTAGTAAGTGATTTCTATAAATAGCACATATTAAAATTATATATATATATAACATATATATATATAATAAATTATATAGTAAGTAAAACAATGTAAGAGAACACTATGTCAGGATAGGTTGGGTTATGTTTCAGTAACACATATGCCAAAATCTCAGGGGTTTGAAACAAAAAGAGTTTATTTCTCAACCACTCAAGTTTCAGGATTCAAAGCTGTGTGCAGCTAATTGTACAGAAACAATTTAACCATCTTCCCTGAATCATAACTTCCCTTTGAAGACTTGGGTGTTAATATGAGCTCAATCTTGTTAAACCTGGCTTCTTTCCCAGTGAGAATTAGTTTCTCATAAGAAATAGAGACGTCAGCCTGCAGTGTGTAGTGGAAGGTTAGAGATCACGCCTACATGTTTGGTGTACTGGAAAGCTAAATCATTTTAAACCAATCTATTCTTTCACTCAATAACTAGTTGTTAGTTGGTTCCAGGTACCAGCCCTTGTAATAGATACATGAAGAGGATGTTAAGATAAGTAAACGTGATCACCGATCTCAAAAAGCTAACAGATTAGGGTCCACTTCCTACCCACCTGCTCTTCTTTATTTATCCCTTGGGTCTAATTTGTTCTAACCCTGGGAATTATAGGAAAATACTAGTGTTGAATTTGGAGGCTCCTTATTTACGCCAAAGCAGACACCCCTCCATTTTCCCCAAACTTGGAAATTTGGGGTTAGTCATATCACCTCTCTTTCATTAACCCTTCTGTCTAATCCATCTTCAAATCCTTCTGAGTTTTTCTTTTGAATTTTTCCCTTCCCTACCAAACCCCAAACCATTAATTCATAATTTCACATTGCATTAAATCTATGCAATCTAAATAAATCTCCCCAATCTATAATGTCTCTTGTTTCCAGATCATTTAATATAAGACACTCAAACAATTCTTTTTAATGGTTTGTATCACTGAGCTTCCAAGTCCCTCACTAATTTCTCTTTGCCCCTATATCATTTTCTTATTCCCCTGTGGGAACTCTCCCTCTGTCCACACTGATCTTCTTGTCTTCTGCACGTTTCCTGCTCTTCCCTGCACTGCCTTATATGCCAATATTTTCATCTGGTGCATATCTTTTTCACTTTTCTACTAATTCTTGTTTTTGCCTCCTACAAAGCCCAGCTGGAAACACCATCTTCCATTGATTGGCTTCTACCATCTCCTTTATTCCTTGACCCCAGCACAAACATGCAATTTGAATTATATTATTGGGTATTTGTTGAGATTCCATTTCATATAAATGTTTAACATTGCTTTCCCATGGTGTTTCTTCTTTCTTCTATCAGGGGAATAAATGTATCTCCCATTCATTTTCAGTCTCATGTTGTACTTGGCTCAACACACTTAACTCAGCAGGCTCTGCATTAATGCATTGACTGACTGAAACGTTTGACTCAGTCTCCAGTCTAATCCTTTTCATTCTGTTTTCTTAGCAAATTGTCAGTTAGTGAGAACATGATTGCCATTAATTTCTGGGTTCAGTTCCCTCAAAGGTGAGTTAACTTCACACAGAGAAAAGGTCTGTTATGTGACCACCTGCTGCATTTCTTGCGATCACTGTAAAGAAAGTCATCTTAGGAGCCTGGTGTAAGGGAGTGTGTGGGACTGAGCATAAGCTCCTTGCTCCTATTAGAAGTATGGCTTAAATACATCTGGTGTTGGATTAATGGTGGTGGATTAGTAAGTGATGTCTACAAATAACACATTTTAAAATTATAAAGTAAGTGAAACAATACAAGAGAAGATTATGTCAGGATAAGTTGGGGTGTGTTTCATTAACACATATGCCAAAAACCTCAAGTGTTTAAAACAATAAGGGCTTATTTTTCAACCACACAAAGTCCACGGAATGATGGGTGATCCTTAGGGCAACCATCCTTCATGTGGTGACTCAGCAACTCAAGATACTGCTACCATCTTGTAATAGTCTCCTCAACAATCACCAAAGCTAGGAAGGAGAGGGCTGCAACTCTAAGCATTGGCTCCTAAGTGCTTTGACCCAGAAGGGATACAAACCAATTCCATTCATAGTCTATTGGCTAAAATGTCACATGACCCTATCTAAGGACAAGAACGTGGATAATATGGTGAGCAGTAAATGTCTCTATCCAGATACAATTTTGTTTCAAAGAATTGACATAGATTTCAAAGTTACCTAACAATCTTGGCTTTGTTGAAGACTAAAACAATATGCTCTATATATCTTTCTAAGACAGTACAGTTGAACTTTGAACAATGTGGGGGTTAGGGGTGCTGACCCCGTGCACAGTTGAAAATCTGTGTGTAACTTTTGGCTCTCCCCAGATTTACCTACTAATATCTTATTGTTGACCAAAAGCCTTACCATTATCATAAACGGTCAACTAACATATATTTTATATGTTATATGTATTATTACATGCTGTATTCTTTCAATAAAGTGAGCTAGAGAAAAGAAAATGTTATTATGGAAGAGAAAAAAATCTGCATGTAAGTGGATCCACACAATTCAAACCCATGTTGTTCAAGGGGTAACTATGTATAACCACAATTGCTCATCTAAAGAATAATTAAACTTATATGGATTTATGGTACAGAATACTGGCTAAAGATAATAATTAGTTCTTGCTTCGTCAACTTTTCCGTCCATAAATAAATCATGCCACTCAGAGCTGTCAAGCATTGCCTTACTCTGACGGTAATAACATTTTCTTTTCATCATTACCATACATTTGTGTATACAATGAATGCTCTATGAGAAGTGGGGAGTTTTTAGGGTGCAGAGGGTTTGAAATTAAGAAATTAAAAACTTCCTATTGAATTCTATCTCTTTCAAAGGAATATATGTACATCATTAAAGCAAATTATATAAATCTGTAGGGCTTATCACCCCAAACTGCTGTGCCTTTACCCACTCCCCATTTCAGACTCCTACTCCCTGTTTTAACTATTTGTTTGTTGTTGTTGTTTTTGTTTGTTTGTTTATTTGTTTTGTTTTGTTTTTTTGAGGATGTACTTTCAAACATATAAATAGCCAACTTATACTTCTATTTCTTGATTTTCTTCCCCAGGTGTGAATGTATGTATTCAATTACTATCATGGAGATGAAGATTTAGAACTCAAATTCACCTACTTTTTTCACATGCACTCTCTTGCTTGCCCCAACACCCCAATAAAATCACACATAATATTTGCTAAATTAATATTCAGAATCTGTATTATTATGGCCACAGCAACACTGTTGTTGTTGTTTTTTTTTTTTATAAAAAATGAACCAAGGGCGCCTGGGTGGCTCAGTTGGTTAGGCGACTGCCTTCGGCTCAGGTCAGGATCCTGGAGTCCCTGGATCGAGTCCCGCATTGGGCTCCCCGCTCGGCAGGGAGTCTGCTTCTCCCTCTGACCCTCCCCCCTCTCATGTGCTCTCTCTCATTCTCTCTCTCTCTCAAATAAATAAATAAACTCTTTAAAAAAAAAAATGAACCAAGTAGTGCACTCTAATTTTATTTCTTTTAATGTACAGCTTCTTTTTTTCCCCTGGAGTTTATAATTGACTGATTAAAAATATATATATATATTTTTTGCTCCTCTAGTTTTCTGTTTCACTATCAACAATTCATTCCTATTCAGCCAAAGACTTTCCTTCCACATCACTCAACTACATTTACCTGTTCCATTTTCTGGAAGGGATCCTAAAGAAGATTTCTGTGCGTCATCCTACTATCTTCTCTTTCTCACCCCCAGGACCAGAAGCTTGCAAACTACATTTTTACAACTCCTTTGCTAGCTGAATTCTACTTACGTCTGCCAACTGGAGCCATTCACAGAAATTAGAAGGTGTGAAAAGATGGAAGCCATTATGTTTATGGCAGGCCCTCTCTCAACAACAGTGTCAGGGACTCCAGCTCAGTAACAGCAAAGGGGGACCTCTCACTCCTCCAATCCTGCCAAGAGTTCCAACACTACCTCCAGCAGCTATAGGTGAGTAGGTTCCTGCTGGGAACAGCCAGCACGTGACGATGAGCACATGAGCACATGAGATGGCTCACATGAGAACCGGCTCCCACAGGGAGTGGTAACAGCTTTGTACAGTTCTGGATTTCTGGGAACACCACTTGCCCCATTTGCTCTTCCAGCCTTTGTAACAATTTGGTAACCTAATTTCCCATATTAGACCTCTTTCATTTTGAAATACCTAGAGTTTCTGCTTCCTTCTTTAGAAACTGGTGGATACAGCCATGGCCAGGCCTGCTGCCCTGAAACCCTGTAACGAGAGGGCAAGACATAAAACACAGAAGTCACTAGGCTTGTGACTGTGGTTCAGGAATAAGCCTCTTCAGATCGGTGCTATCCAACAGAAATACAGCATGAGCCACGCTAAAAACTTTTTTCTAGCAGGCGCATTTTTATAAAATAAAAAGGATCAGGTGAAATTCATTTTAGTAACATGTTTTCGTTTACCCAACATATCCAAAACCATATCACTTCCACATGTAATCAACATAATGCAATTATTGAGATTTTTGACATTTTTTTTCATATAAATTCTTGAAATCCAGTGGCATTTTGCACTTAAACACATGTCCAGTGGCATTTTGCACTTAAACACGTGTCCACATACTGGGACTCAGATCCACACCTGAGTCCCAGTATGTGTGGTTAAGACTCTTGTACTAGACAGCAGAGCTTTATGTCCACAGGGCTCATACGGCACGCTCACTTCCCACCAACCCGAAAACAGTCTAAAATGCAGTGATCTTGTGCCTCAAAACTCTGACCAGGAGGATTCCTCATGGTGTGGGTTGCTGAGATTCCTGAACTGTGAGGAATGAGGAGGGACCAGACATCACTGCCCAGTGTACCAGCCCTTGGCTTGGGTTAATGCTTTGCTGGAGCCATCTTGAAACTCTTAGTGATGTTTAAACAAGAGATCCCACATTACCTTTCTGTACTGAGCCCCTCAAGTTACATTGCTGATTTTGCCTTTTGGACTAATCTTGTAGTTTTCTTTCTTTTTAAAAAAATTCTACTCTTTGTGTTTGACTTTCTGGGGGCTTCCTTAAATTTCTATTCTAATTCTTCCTTTGAATCTTTCACCGTTGCTATGCTATTAATTTCCAAGAAGTCCTTTCTAACCTCTGAATACTCCTTTCTTTTTTTTTTTTTTTAAAGATTTTATTTATTTATTTGACAGAGAAAGACACAGTGAGAGAGAGAACACAAGCAGGGGGAGTGGGAGAGGGAGAAGCAGACTCCTTGCCGAGCAGGGAGCCCGATGCGGGACTCGATCCCGGGACTCCAGGATCATGACCTGAGCCGAAGGCAGTCGTTTAACCAACTGAGCCACCCAGGCGCCCCTGAATACTCCTTTTTTAATGGCACCTTTTTTTTTTTTTTCAGATATGCAATACCTTTTCTTTTTCTTTATCCCGAGAATATTATTGATGATTTCTTTAAGTTTCCTTTAGCTTCTTATATTTTCTCTAAGTTCCTCCTTTTTTTCTATTTTGTTTGGGCTCAATAATTTATGTTAGAAGTATAAGTAGATGCATTTGGTTTGGAAAAGACTAAGGGCTTTTATCCTCTGAGGCAAGAAAGACCAAGGTAGGGGACGATACAAACATTTTAAGTGCAGAAGAGGCAACACAGGGAAGCTCACGGTGAGACAAACTTCCTCTCTGGAAAGCAGGAGAATTTGTCTCTCAAACTGTGAGGTACTGTAAGGGCAAGAGCTGAAGATCAGAAGGAAATATTTGGAATATCTGCATCGCAGGAATCAACAAATGTTGAAAGCCCTGAGTGGCAGTGAGGGCTCATCTAAAGTCCAATAGCCTAAATTTGCTGCTGGCCCAATCCCCAGTCTGGTGACCTCCAGTTAGTCTTGGCCGGATGGGGGTGCCAGACAAGATCGCAGCTGAGAATGTCAGCCAAGGCTAGGGGCTCGGGGGTAAAGAAGAGAGGAATGGCGGAGGGGTCAGAGTCTGAGACAGGGAGCTAGCCCTGGTAAGATGAGGCACCAAAGGAAAGCCTAGCCGGAATCATGTTCCCTGAGTTTTTCAGAAAGTGAGGAGCCTGTTCTTCAGGCCTGAGGAACTGGAAGAGCTAGCTGTGGTCAAGGGAGCATAGCAAAGTGAAACAATTCCTCGGTATGGAATCAGAAGGCATGGCTTCACATCCTGGCTTGGCTGGACATGGGAAAGGTCACAAGCATCCCGCTTCATGGCTGTGAACAGAGGAAGTTGGATTTTGATCTCCATGTCCCCTTCAGTCTCAAATCTGGTAGTTCTAGAACAGATTACAGTCAAAGAGGGAAATTTCAGTTACGACATATAACATTAGCCCTATGGAGAAACCCCCTTGGCTCATTTACAGGAGAAACAAGTGTAAAACCCCTGGCAATGCAGGGCCTGCTGCAGAGCCCTCTCCAAGGGACAGATGTGGACCATTACATCACTCGCCCGTCTCCTCGCGCAAGCCCGCACCTGTTGACCGCAACCACCAGATGGCGCTGTTGCTCCAAAATCTAGCGCATCCCTTGGCCTGGGGGTCCTGGGAAAACCTGACCTGAATCTAAAACTTCCCTAATCACCGCATTTGATTCGAAAGCAAAACAGCAGAAAAATACTGCGCATCACAACGAGGTCGGAGTGTAGCCCTTCACGGTACTGCGTGGCCCGTGGGCAAGTCATCGGTGGTTATTTAAAGTTTGATTTTAGGAAAATGACTTCAAAATCCAGAGACTTTGGGGAGCAGGTGAGCCTGGGCCAGCGTTCCTCCCCTCGGTCCCCGACGTGGCGCTTTCCTGAAGCTGCCGCGGCGTGGCTACGCGGAGGTGGCGAGCTCCCGGGACCCACGCAGCGTCTGTCTGCGCAGTGCCCAGATGGCAGAGGCTGCAGAGGCCTCCAGAAACCTGCGGCAATGTTGCATTTCTCCAACTCTGGCCCGCCACCCTCCCTCACCACCCCAGCTCCGGGGCTGCAGCCACTTCTGGGCTCTGCCACCCTGCACCCCGAGGGGGCGGGGTGCAGTGGCCGCGGGAGCTGGTGGCAAGGGAAGAGGCCCTCGTTGAGAGGCCCAGTCACCCGGGAGGGCCTAATCACACACTCGAGGAGTCCAGGGAGCCCAGGGCGTGCTTCCCGTTGGTGTTTTGGGGAATTACTATGGGCTGTCAGCCCCGGGGGCCAAGTCCCCCGCGCGCCCCGGGTGGCGTGTCCCCTGCGCGTCCCCGGTGGCGTGTGCGTTCCTGGGCAGGTGGGCCCGGCAGCACCGGAGGCTGTGGCCTGAGCTGGGCCCGCTGGCTCCCAGGAGGCTTGAGCAGGCTCCCGCGCGGCCTCGCGCGGCCATCCCCGGGCTCGGGGCTCCCTCCCCGCGGGCGCCCCGCACCCCCTGCCAGCACTGTGCTGGGCTTTCCCTCTGCGGCGGCGGCAGCAGCAGCTTTAATGGCCCCTTGCTCCTGCCGGCGTCAGGTGCTCCGCGCGGATCTGGGCCGTGGACATGCAAAGGCTGATGAATTTTTCACAGCGAGTCACTCGGCTGTCGATCTGAAGGCAGGGCGACCTCTGGGACAGGAGCCATTAAGGACCCGGTTGTGCGGGGGCAGCTTCTCCCACGACCGCGCTAATTACTGACCTGGGAGAGGGACCGCGTTGGTCCCACCAGTGCTCTTCTTTGTCCTTTTCGACCCTGTTTGATTCTCCAAGGAGAGCTGGGCCTAGGAATTCCGTGGAAGGAGCCAGGCGTGGTGCAAGCGCTGAAAGGCTGAGTAGGGGCACTGGTTCAATTTAATCGCCTTGGTGGAGAGCCCCACCTGAGCTCAGCCTAGAGAAGGAGCTTGGGCATCGTCACATCCCTGCCCTCGAGGAGAAGATTCCTAGCTCCCGGGAAATAGGGCTCACAAAGGAAGGGTGAAACAGTTGAATGAAAATGTTTCAGATTTGAACCAAGGGCGGGTTAAATGGGACTGACTGTGAGCTGCACAGGGGTTCAGAGGAGGCAAGGTGGAGCCAGGACAGAAGGTAGTGAAGGGAAAGGAAAAGAGCTAAACACGAGGCCAAGAAAAGAGGCAGACCAAGGACTGGGTCTAACTTTGGGTGTGTGGTGGGAGAGAACACTGCGCTGTGTTAGACAGATAGGCAGGCCTACTGTGTGTCTAGAACTGGTATTTTCTTTTTTTTTTTTTAAGAGTTTATTTATTTATTTGAGAGAGAGAATGAGAGAGAGAGAGCATGAGAGGGGGGACGGTCAGAGGGAGAAGCAGACTCCCTGCGGAGCAGGGAGCCCGATGCGGGACTCGATCCAGGGACTCCAGGATCATGACCTGAGCCGAAGGCAGTCGCTAGAACTGGTATTTTCTTAAAGCCCCATCTCCCCTCATTATAGAACATTTGAAAATACAGATAAATAGGGGTGCCTGGCTGGCTCAGAGGGTGGAGCATGTGACTCGAGCTGGGGGTGGGGTGGTGAGTTGGAACTCCACCTTGGGTGTAGAGATGACTTAAGAAAAAACAAATCTAAAAAAAAAAAAAATACAGATAAGTAAAGGAAAATCATTACCTAGAGAACAGCACTGGTTTTTAGTTTTTGTTTTGTTTTGGTTTTGGTTTGGTTTGGTTTGGTTTGGTGGTGGGGGTGGGTTCTACTCAAGTTTTTTGCCTAGTTGTATGTTTAAAATACATACATATGTAACATACGTAGTGTATGTTAAATTTTTTTTACATTTACGTACTTAAAAAACAATTTCTCGTTATATAAAGTAGTATATATCTTTGTACATTTTTGGAAAATAAGGGACAATATGAAGACAAAAATAAAAATCACCTAGATTCCAAGGATATTCTTTGGTGTGTTTCCTTAAAACATTTTTTTCTGTGCATGTTTGATTACACTGAGACCATATGCTACTTATTAATTTTTATACCTGGTGAATATACAAGTTTTACTAGAAGGCTATGTGAAAAGGGTCTCCTAATCTCAAGGTAGGAAGTATCTCAAGGTTTCTGAGTGGTCCACTGAGCTCCCCCACCCCCAAACACTTGAAGTGAGAGAAACAGTGAGGGTTTGGGACTCACAACACTCCAAAGGCATCCCTGAAGGTCTTCCTCGCAAATCCTCCCAACTTCCCATTCCCCCTTGGCCTCTGGTTGTAGAGAGAGTTCAG